TACTGTTACTGTTCCTGTTACTGTCACTGGTACTGGTACTTTTGCTGCTACTGTTACTGTTACGGCTACTCTTAATGTTATTCACAGTTATTGTTAATGCTAGTGGGACTGAACCTGTCACTCTTACTAGTAGTACTCTCTTTACTGTGGCTGTCAGCCGTGCTTTCCCAGGGCCGTGCACCGCCATGCACTGTTTCGTCCTGCTGCATTTTCTTTCTTCTTGCGATCGCTGTCTCCTCGGCTCGAGATCTTCTTTAGACAGCTTTGGTCGGTATCCTCCTCGATCGCACTCGTTCCGCGCAATGCCCGTGAAGTGTCGGGGCCGCGATGGGCTGCCTTGCACTTTCGGCTGCGGAGGGGGCGCCTGTCAGACTGGCGGAGGTCACAACCAATGCATGTGGTGCAGTTCTTCGCGCTTGGAAGCGGCCTGCGACGGCCGAGTCGGGCGACACATTCTTGTGCGAAGTTTCAGGCAGCTGTGCCCCGAGCAGCAAGAACGGGCCCGGCGTCTCGTGCCGAGCGTGTATCGCAGCGTCTTCGACAAGCTCGTGTCGCAACGCGAGCGCTGTGCAGGATGGTCCGGCATTGCCTGCGTTTTCGCGCAGAGCGCCGCGGGTGGCCCCGCCAACCTGCACAAGACTCGGCGCTGCTGCTTGCTTTGCGATCCGCCGCGCCTGGCAGAAGAGTGCTCCACCATGACCGGCCGCGGCAAAACATTGGCGATCATACGTCGAATGGCCTGTGGCGAGAATTCCACGAGAACATCGCGCCTTCTTCGCCGAAGCACTCGCCGCCATCCCGGGGGACGCACCGGGCGCTCGGCGCAGCCACCGGAAGAGGCCGGCCACGACCGTGGATTGGATCGCAGCACTCGCCCGCCGACGATCCCATCGGGCACCGCCGACGGAAGCGGCCCGTGCCCTCTACCGAAAGCAAGTTCTGGACGATCGTGCCCGTGCTCGCCGTCGCTTCGGCGTCCTTGGCCGTGCCCCACGTGGCGAAGCCGTGGTCAACGACACCGGGCTTCCGCCGCCCAAGCGAGCCCGATCGGAGCTAGCCGCGGATCTTTACGAATGGTGCGAGAAACGTTCCTGGGGCATGTGTGCGGAATGCTACAGCATGATTCCGCTGCCGCTGACTGAGAACGTCTTGAAGGGCCAGGGGCGGGACTCGCCGTACGTGTCCTCCAAGCAATGCACGCGCTGTCGTGCCGCGGTCCCTTGTGCAGCGCCCCTACCCGACGAAGTCCCCGAAGCCTTGCGCGGCCTGACGGAGGAGAGCCTGCAGGCCTTGACCCACTTGCGCTTGGATGTCGGGCCGGAAATCCGAGCGTCGAACAACAGCGGATATCGACAACACGCTACAATGGCGCGCTTCTTTTGGCAGTCGTCCAGCACCTCTGCGCGCATTCGAGCGATCCAGGATGCGGCGCAGCGCCAGCGCGCCCGCGCAGCCAAGAAGTATCTGCTGCAAGCCCAGGGCTGCTCTTATGGCCGCTTCGAAAGCCAGCACCTAACTTTTCTGTCCAAGCACCCTCACCCGGAAGAACGAACTTGCCGTCGACGTCTGCAGTTCATTGAAACGCCTGGACTGGAGACCTCCTTGTGGCCACACCTCTTCTACAACGATTCCTTGTGCCTCACTGTGGTGCGCTCCACCGATGCCCGCCGTGTGGGCCGCGCGCGAGGCCCAACCTTGGAGGCTTTCGTCCGTGGTGACGTGGGTTCGGACACAGACGACGATGAGGATGCAGACGGCCGGCGGCACAGCGTGAAACGTGCTTACTCGGCTTTGGCCTTATCGGCGCGCCTGGGCTACGGAAGCAGTTACGAGGTGCTGCATTTTGCCTATGATTTGAATCTCTGGTCTGCCCTGGGTGCAAAGAAGACGACGCGAGTCGGGAGTACGACGTGCCGATGCGAGTGCTCATGAAGGGCCACTCGTTCTCGCCGTTGTATTGGCGAGGCGTCCATTGCGCGCTTCTTGACATGGTCCGCCAGGTCGGCTACCCCAAAATCTTTTGGACCATCTCTCCGTACGAATGGTCCATGCCATACCACGTTTGGCTTCGGGGCGAGATGGCCAAGGAGTTACGAGGAAGATTGCATCTGGCAGTCGCCGAAAGCCTGCATGTTACGCATGTCCTGTTGCAGGTTGTGCGCGGCGTCTTGGCGGGCCGGACGGGCAAGCCTTCCAGAGACCCTTGGCAGCGCCACCTGCTGCAGGCTGTCGGTCCCGGCGGGGAGGTTCATCCCGTCCACGTCTTCTTACGGGTTGAATTTCAGGATGGCACCCGGAAGGCCCCCACACAAGACTACCACGGCTCCGGTCGCCCGCACATCCACGTGCTCGTGTTTGCGTCCACGCAAGCCGTACAGTGCATGTCGCTCCCCGACACGGTGTCCGCCACCATGCCGGCGGCCGTGGACGCCCAGGATCTCTTGCCGGGATTGGTGCGTGGCTCGCAACTCGATCGCTCGGGCCGCAGCGGTTGGCCTGCACGGGAAGCCCCAAACGGGTGGAACCCAGCTACGGGTGGCTTGCAACTTCTCCACACGCCCGAGGACCAGGGCATGGGACTGCGTCCTTACTTCGTGGCTCTAATGGAAGCCCTTCGGTGCCACCAAGACTTCCAGACGACGACGGCGCCCTGCGGGCTTACGTCGCCAAGTACGTCAGTAAGTTTAGCGACTCAAATCAAGACGAGTGGCTGAACGACGCGGCGGAAGGCGACAGCATCGCTGCAACGGTTTTGTGTCGGTACAAGCCGCTGGAACCGGAGATGACCCTGCAAATGTTCGGTGCACGCTTCCGCCAGTGGTTCGTGACCACGGAAGGCCGCGGCAAGCGCGACTTCGTCGTGCCTTGGCCAGAGAAAGCGGAGCTGCCCCAAGAAGTGACTCAGTACATGTCGGCCGATTGGGCCGCAGGGAGAATCAGCCTGCTCGACTTCTTGCGTAAAACAACCGCTGAAGGGCGAATCTGTGCCTGGCTACGGCGGCACCACGTGGCCGATTCCCGCGGTCTCTCCCTCGAAGAGTTTGCGGCTCGATACGTCGTCCGCGGCGAGAAGCTGGTGGCTGCGGACATGTTGTCTCGCCTCAACGACAAGTTCTACGGACAGTGGCTGATGCTGCACGTGCCTTTCCGCGATCCTGAAGATTTCCACGTGCCGCTCGCAGCAGCGCTGGACCGCGTGCCTGCAGAGCACCGCAACTTCGCGATGGCAGTGCTCTGCGAGCATCCAACAGCAAAAAGCCATGTGGGGAACCGATGCGGGCGCGCTACTACAGACTGAACTGCGGACGGAGGCGCTGTCGCGGCCCTTCGTGGCGACTCTGCTGGCCATGACCACGGCGCACCGTGCGCTGGTGCACAAATACTTGGCCGGTGAGGTTGACGTCCATGCGGAGGAGCGCCGACGGGAGCGTTTGCGCGTCCGTCCCGAGGCAGACGCATCGTCGCAGACGGCTTTCAATGCGGAGCAACGGCACCTGCAGGCAAAGCTCGCTGCGGCTGTGGCGCGTGCCCTGGCCGTCCAGCACGCCACGACTGAGGCGGAATCAGACCGGCTTTTGGAGAAGGCCTATGACCACGGAAAGATCTTCGTCTGCACCGGTGGACCGGGCACTGGAAAGACGACGACGGCCCTCGCCGCTGTCCAACACACATTGGATTTGGGAGGCGAAGTCCTGTTCACTTACCCCACGAACCGCCAGGCTAGCCGCATGCGTGCCAAGCTGCCGGCCACGGTGGCGGTGGACACGTTCCACGCGGCATTTGCCTTGGACGAGCCGCCCGGAGCCGTCCTGCCGGCGCTGGCCCGATACGCACTCATCGTGGTGGATGAGCTTTCGCAGTTGCAACAGCCGCACTTCGAACACATCTGCAAGCTGTGGAGTCAGGCTGACAACCTTCCCGCGGTGCTCACGGCCGGCAACGAGTTGCAGATGGCCGGCTTCGGCCCGACGCGTGCTTGGCACAGCCCGCTCTGGAAGCGCATGATCTACAGGGTCAAACTGCATAAGACCTATCGCTGCAAAGACCCGGCCTTCAACCGTGTCTTACAAGAGCTCCGCACCAGCCGTCCCGGCGCGAAGACTCTGAAGTGGCTTCAAGGGCGCAAAGCTTGGGCGCCGCCACAGACTCCCTCGGTGGATTGCATTCGGAAGCTCCTCAAGGCTCACCCGAGCACGGTGGTCTTGACCTGCACACGTCGGGGTGCTCACAAAATCAACGAGCTAGCCCTGCGGGCCCTGTTTCCTCGCTACGATCCCTTGGTCGTTCTCCCTGCGGATGTCGAAGCCAATCCTGCGAACTACGCGGATGGCGTGCTCCTGCAAGACTTCGCCGCGCTGCAGCCCTTGCCGTTGCCGATCTTTCGCGGCATGCGGGTGGTCTTCACGCGGAACGTTCGCAAGGACGTCGACTTCGTCAACGGTATGGACGCGGAAGTCGTCGGTTACGATACGTCTGCGAAGGCAGTCGAGGTGCTCACGACCACCCAGCACCGCGTGGTGGTGTGGCCTTGGACGGACCCAGACCTCGGCAACATCACGTACTATCCCCTGAAGACAGGCTACGCGGATACCATCATCAAATTCCAAGGAGCCGAGCTCTCGCACGTGACGGCGTATCTCGATTGCCCCGGCGTCCCGGGTGCTGCGTATACTGCCCTCAGCCGAGTTTCCTATGGCCAGGACCTCTTGATTGGCGGGGCCGTCACGGCGGCGCATTTCCAGCCCGTCGACGAGGCCAAAGATGAGTGAACATCTTGGGCAAACACAGCAAACATGCTGCAGGATTCGCCTAACCGCGACTCCTTGTTCGGCTCTGACGAAAAAAAACTTTCCACACTTGCTTTTGCCTCTTGGCCGACGTCTTTCGTCTAACGAGAAATCCATGGCCTTTAAATTCAAAGACGTTGGATTTCATCTAGCCGCGTCTAGCTAGCGGCTACAGCCTTTTGCCGCCGAAGCTCGTTGGTGCGTCTCGCTGCGCCGCCAACGTCCCATGCTGCTCAAGTCTACAACCGACCACAGCAGCAGACTCACGCATGCAATAAGATTATCGACGCCTTCGTTTCGTGGACATCGCAGGTGCAACGGTGTGATACCTCTAGCTCACTCGGGATAATAACAACAGTAGCGCTACAAGACAAGCAGCAACAGACTCCCGCCAATTCTAAGACGACCACGCCGAAGGGACTTTGCCTTTAGAGGAAGGCTCCGGCAAATCTAACACGCACTCGCTCCTTGGGTACCCTCTCGGTTCCTCATTCATGTACTGATCAGTCTTCGCAATATTTCAGGCTTGCGAGGTCCTTGGTCTGACATGTTCCGCCGGTCACATCACCAGCAGAAAAACACCAGTCTAGCACGGTTAAGAATAAAGCGGCTTGGAGAGGTTGTTGTGTCTACCCCCCTTGCTAGGGGGGTTGGGGGGGTAGAAAACCCTAAACCCGGTAAGGTCATGGTTTGGGTGGTCTTGGGGTGGGATGTCGC